ACCCCCCCCCCCCCGCGGGCGCAATGTTAGAATTTTTCATGCAAAGTATAGTTGTATTTAACTAATAATATATACTTTGGAGGGGAAGGGGGCTCGTAATTCAGGCTTTTCCCCAGGCGCGGCATTTGTATGCCTTGGCACTAGTGATCAGCATGAACAGGAATATTCCAATAGTGTACTTTCCAGACTAACTAATGAAGTCTTATTTTGAAAAAAAAAAAAAATTTAAGATTCCTTTCAAACTCAGCATTGCAATAAATTTAAGAAAACCTGACTCTGATTACTCTCAAGATATCGACTCTGAATACTCTGAACTCACCTTGTGCCGCGGGCACACAACTAACTAACTAAAAGACACATAGGCCTAATACGAGCAACTTTTCCAACCAAACAAGAAGTAGACCAAGACGCGGACTCTTAAAATATCTGATCTCTTTTTATCATACTAATGCACAACCGCTAACGTCAGAAATGTGCCATATGAGTTGTGTTTAGACACCTAAGATGCTAAATTTAGTCGAATTTAATGCCGAGACCTATTCCCATGCCCACATGATCTGTTGCCACTAACTGAGTTGGACAGTGGGCCTAGATCAGTGGTTCTTAACCTGTGTTCGATCGAACCCCAAGGGTTCGGTGAGTCAGTCTCAGGGGTTTGGCGGAGGTCCAAAAAAATCAGGCAAAAAAATAATATTTTATTTTTCCTATTAAGAAGGGTTTGGTGAATGCGCATATGAAACTGGTGGGGTTCGGTACCTCCAAACAGGTTAAGAACCACTGGCCTAGATCAATATAAAATATAGTCGGGAGATTAGATGAGATATGATGGAAAGACTCTTGAGAATAAAGTCTGGCAACTTCCCTTTGAAATAGTCTCTTAATGTGTCAAAAAGACACAGTTGTACTAACAGTTGTACTAACAGTTGTACTAACAGTTGTACTAATAGTTGTACTAACAGTTGTATTAACACTTGTACTTACAGTTATACTAACAGCTGTACTAACAGTTGTACTAATAGTTGTACTAACAGTTGTACTTACAGTTGTACTAACATTTGTACGAACAGTTGTACTAACAGTTGTACTAACAGTTGTACTAACAGTGGTACTAACAGTTGTACTAACAGTTGTACTAACAGTGGTACTAACAGTTGTACTAACAGTTGTACTAACAGTTGTACTAACAGTGGTAGTAACAGTTGTACTAACAGTTGTACTAACAGTTGTACTAACAGTTGTACTAACAGTTGTACTAACAGTTGTACTAACAGTTGTACTAACAGTTGTACTAACAGTGGTACTAACAGTTGTACTAACAGTTGTACTAACAGTTGTACTAACAGTTGTACTAACAGTTGTACTAACAGTTGTACTAACAGTTGTACTAACAGTTGTACTAACAGTTGTACTAACAGTTGTACTAACAGTTGTACTAACAGTTGTACTAACAGTTGTACTAACAGTTGTACTAACAGTGGTACTAACAGTGGTACTAACAGTTGTACTAACAGTTGTACTAACAGTGGTACTAACAGTTGTACTAACAGTTGTACTAACAGTTGTACTAACAGTTGTACTAACAGTTGTACTAACAGTTGTACTAACAGTTGTACTAACAGTTGTACTAACAGTTGTACTAACAGTTGTACTAATTGGAGAAAACGGGTGTGAGAAGTTTAGAACATATCTAAAGTTAAATGCTAATGAATTGTATTTTTTTTTAAATTGCTGTTAATAAATATTTTTTTTTAAATTCTTAAATGGATGACTAAAAAGTGGGTGTTCTCCACGCCTATGTCTATACCCATGCGCTTAACTGCCTATGATGCCCATGCCCATCCACCCAAGTGGGATAAAGAAAGTCACTTTGTTGTGACAAGAGATCAAACTAAAAATTGAACTCTGAATTGGATGTCAGCCCTAACTGTGCCATCTTGCTACAAAAAGAGCCACAACACAAAAATTGTTTATTGCACATAAACAATCCCCCCCCCCCTTTTTCCATACACACCTACAAAAACCTAGATTTTTTTTTTTACTGTTTTTATCTATTACTATATGTCCAGGTTTATGATGATGGCAACTGTTTCATTACTGAACTTCTTTTAAGTGTCACATTTTGTGTAATTACTGATCTTTTATCCAGGTTCATTTACTATGTAATTCCTGGATCCGGTCTGTACCGTGTCGACCTGGGTGACATCCACGAAGCTCCTTCTCCGCTGTCAAGATTTTCTCCAGCGGTGAGATCAGCGTTATCAATACGTCGACCATCTGCCTCAACAGTAAAGCCCCAACTGGTCATTGCTATGAGTGACATGCTCACGCACATCATTGACCTCTACAACGTGCACTTATATGTAGTCAACAACAAGGCAAGGAAAATGATGACCACTTTTCTCGATGGGTCGAATGCAAGACCATTTCATGAAAAGATTATAAGATCAGAGTTTTACAATGTCTCCAGCATGATCTTCTTCAATCAGGTATGGGCACTCTATGAAAAAGATATTTTTATATGAAAATAAAGTGTATCAGCGTGAACACAATATTTTAGAACTTTCTTTCACTTTTTTGCCCAGCAGCAGTTTTTGAACAATCATTCACAAGTCTGTCCAAAACTTGAGGTTGCTTGTGGAGATCATTTCTTGCAAAAATTTTGAATACGGACACAAACTTCATTAAAAAAACTTTAAGACCTATAATTAGTTTACTACACATTTCTTATTTCTTGATTTGACATTCTGATTTGAACTTAAATATTTAAACTATATAAAAGATACATACAATTATTTTGAGAATAAGAAGTTTGTTAAAATATCAGGGAAAGTCGTTGCATTTTTTAAAGTTTTATAATATAATCTTTAATATATATTTATTTTTTTTTTTAAAGACTTTCATCTGGACCAATGGAACTAAAATGTTTGTAGAGGAACATGAATCCCCACTGAAAGATTACAGGCATAATGAGATGCTCTTCTTTGAGCCACCATATGCTGGTATTAATGTGTTTCATCCAAGCACTCAACCAACACCTGGTAGGTTCCCTTATTTTTCATACCTTATTTTTTCCTTACATTTATTATGTTTTATTATGTTTCATAAAATACAAGAGTACCTTAAATAACTTACCTTGTTGTCCATTAGATTTCAGTCCATTTTATTGCGGTGTTTTATTTTCTAAAATTCATTTGCTTGCTGCTGATCATATCCAATCAATTTTATTGTAAAACTAAAAAATATAATTTTTTTTTTCCTCTCCACTTCCTTTCCTTAAATTTCTGATTTAAATTTTTATCTGTGGAATAAAAGACGTTTCCCATCAAAATGAAGATCGAATTTTTTTATTTAAGCTTGGGCAAAAGTTTTCTTTTAAATTCATCTTTGCCTGTGAGCACAAAAAGATTTTGTCCCCACTTTTTTAAGTGTATCATAAAATTAAAATATTTTTTTTTAAATCCATTTAATTCCTTAATTTATTTTTGTTCTGTTCTTTTTTTTTTCAGTTCCTTCGAGTGCCCCAGATAATGTTGAGGGCTTGTTTTCAAAGTATAGAGTTGTTGTAAAATGGATGCCTCCACCCATATTGCAATACCAGGGTTAGTAAAGTAGCAATATTAAAAAAAACAAGCCATTAATTCCTTACTTCTTTGATGATCATCTAGATAAAAACTTAAGATTATTCCATTTCAAATGTATTGATATCCTGTGATATATATTTTTTAGGTAAAGGGGCCTGGATGAATTGGACTTATGAGCTCCAGATGACCATGATGGACGATGAGCAGCCCCAAATACATGCCACCTCAAGCCTCAAGTATGTGGTCAGCAACCTAAAGCCTGACACTGAGTACAGAATTCAAGTTAGGGCCATGTCAACAGCTGGCCGTGGGCCATGGTCTAAAGTGTTTATTGGCAGAACTCTTCTTGAAGGTGAGTTGTTAATGCAATTTTTTTCTTATTTGTGACAACAAAACTCAGCCTTTTTTAATCTGGGATTTTAGTATTTTTTAGTTATTATCTCAGTATGCATTATCATTCATTGTATAACTGTCCTTTGAAAACTCTTGACATTAGATCTACTTTTTTTTTGTCCAGATGGCCTAAGTGTCCTAATAGGTTTGCCTGGTGGTGAAATCATTGAGAAAAATATCAGCAGTGACGGCCAGAGGTCAGTTGTCAGCTTCTTTTCAGATTCAACAGGTAATTCTGTCCACCTCTGTACTACGTTTTTTTTTAAAACATGTTTTTTTATTATTTTTAACACATAAATTATATCAAGATTTACTGTTACTAAGTTGTCATAGAGAAACAGTCGGCATTTTTTCATCCATTTTAAACTGCATTTTTATTAAATTGTTATTCCTTGATATTCCATTTAATTTTCCAGATGTGGCATGGCATGAAGGCATAATTTTCTGGGTCACTAAACAAGGGAGACTTGGTGTCTATGACCAAACCACTAGACATAAACGAACTATGTCAGCGGCAGACAGGGCTTACTGTGTAGCATATGACTGGCTTGCAAAAAAAGTCTTTTGGTCTGACCCAAGCCATGTTGCAGTAAGACACACGGTTTTTTTTATAAATCTTTTTTAAACATGCTAAATTAAATAGGCTTTCTTTCAAAAATAATAATATAAGCCTTTGAATTCATTTATGTTTGGATAAAAGTTTTAGACTAAAATATTACCTAATTTGTAACAATTTTATGTTATTGCTGTTATCTTGAAAAAAAAAATTCATAGCAAATTAAAAATAGAAAATCTATTGTAGCATCTTTTAGATTTGAAAAGTAATCATTACATGAAAATAAAACAAAAATGGGACTTTGGAGCATTTGGTAATTATTTAGAAAAAATAAGAAGCGTCCCTAATCGTTTTTTTTTTTAAACTCTGAAAATTCTTTCTAGATTTACAGATCTGACATCAATGGGATTAGCAGTGAGTTCATCCGCAGGACTGCAGCCAGAGATATTGCTATTGATGCTATGAGGGGTCGGCTGTACTGGGCTACCCAGAACTCCATAGAGACAAGCTATCTCAACGGTGATAACCATCAGGAGCTATTTACCATTCCGCCATTTAGTGGGCCCAATGTTATCAGTCTCACATTGGACATGGACTCAGAGAGGGTGAGTTGCCCATCTTTGAGTGGTTTGATGTAGACATCATGCTGTGGAAATATACTGTACATTTTAAGGAGAAAATATCCATTTCATTTTTCATATGTTTATCTTGAGTCTTGTGCCTGAGCAACTTAAGCTGAATCAACAAAGAATGTGTTTTAGAGATAATGTGCAGCTCCAAATTTATGGGAAGTATTTGATTTGCTAAATAAATATGCAAATGCAAACATTTGTTCTCAGTAATAAAAAAAAAAACTTTTAAGATATAGGCCTAATAATAAACTATGTTAATGGTCATTATGGTCTGAAAAAGTAGCTCCCAATAATTCTGAACTGTTTAAACTGCTACAGTTGTCATGATTTGTAACATGTGATATTCCACTTGAAGCCTTCCAAGAGTCCCAAATGCTAACGAGTAACTAAGTTTAATTTGAAAAAGAACCCTGAGCAAAAATATTCTATTCTTATCCTCAGGTTTTCTGGTATGTCAAGGGATCAGACACACAGAGTCTTTTTGTGACCGAGCTCATTCCTGCTGGTTATATTGGACAATTTCCAGCAGCCCCACAAAAAGTTGGAGATTTCAAAAGCATTGCAAGGTGGGAGACATTTTTTTAAAAATTATTTTGTTTTACTCTGTCTAGAGCCTAATAAAGCCACGAGATATTTATTTTCATTAATAAATTTTAAGTTTGATCTGCTAATCAAGATCAAATATTTCCTTACATTCTCATATAGGAGCATAACTAAAAATATCCTTTGATCCCTCAATGTTTTCACCCTGTGAACTCATGTCATTGGTATATTGAAGTTTTCTTTTCTCTGTCAGTTATCGTTTTTTTTTTTTTAAATATGCATTTACTTTACTTTCAGCACATCTGGACTTCAGTATTTTGCAAATCGTCTGTTCTGGTTATCTGAAAAGCATTCTCTGGTTATGGGTGACTCCCAGTGTAACTTCACCGCCACTGTTGGTGAAGCCTCAAACATTACCTCATTTGTTGTGATACAACCTTGTAAGTCGTAGCCCTTCAAAGATTAAGTCTTAAAAATAAATTAAAAATTTGAAGTAAAACAACTGAACAGCAATACTTGTCAAGTTTCTACTGCATCCAAGTTGGTACTGGTATTTGGTACTGTTACACAGTATACTATTTTTAAGGTTTCTCTAAGTTTACTATTTTAAAAGTGTCATTTTGTATACTATTATTTTGTCTTTTAGTATGCCATCTTTCATGTTTCTCTTAATAAACAAAATATAAAATTTGATTTCACTGTCAATAATTTCTTTCTTTTTTTTAAAATATAAATTAGACCAGGCCTGCACAACATGTGGCCCCAGTACCCACTTTGCGACCAGCGTAGTAACGAAATATTCTTTTTTCTTAGTATTTTATTAATAGCTTTCCCCCCTGTCCTATTTTCTTTTTGGCCCACACAAGTCCTTTCCTATTTTCTTTTGGCCCGCCCAAGATTTTCATAAAGTATTACGACCCGCCTTACATTTTGAGTTGTGCAGGCCTGCATTAGACCATTAAAAAAAAATCAATATACGTCAAACATTCTGTAATAAAGTTTTGGTAACTTTTCTTTAATAGGTTACAATGATCATGATGATGTTTGTAGCTGACACCTTTCTGTGAATCTATTTCAGCCAACACCACCAAGAATAATTTGTGGGTGATTCCTAACCAAATAAGATCTGAAGACATCAAGTCAGAAGGTTACTGGTCAAGCTTTAACTTGACCTGGCCAAAGTCGTCAGAAGTCACCCATGGGACGGTTTTTTATAGAGTCATTATTGAAGTTGGCAATACCAATAAACAGCTGGTGAGCCTGTAAGGTTGTTAAGCATCAGGGAAAGAAATTACCATGCTTGTAATATGATAGCTAAGGAAATCCTGGATACCACAAAAACTTATTAATTTATTTGAAGGAGAAAAAAACAACTGATTTGTCTAAAAAAATTTATATCTCATTTTCAGACAACAACAAACCAATGGAGTGAAATGCTTGGCTTGTCACCATATACACAGCTTGTTGTCAGTATCCAACCATACACATATTGGGGCTATGCTGTCCCAACAACAGTGTCAGTCAGGTCACCCATGTCAAGTAAGTCAAAATCATAAAGTTTGTTATTGTTTTAATTTGACAATATTTGAAATGTAACTTAAAAATAAAACATATAATTTTGTAAGCAGATTAAGTTTTTACCAGAGCATTGTTGTATCAAAGCAAGGGTATGTAATCTGCAGTCTTTGAGCTGCATTCCCAATGTAATATAAGCATTTATTATTATGAGGTCTTCATTTGGAATGCAAAAGGAGTCCCTGGACTAAAAATAAGTATTAATGAATCTCCTCTGTCCTAGATAACTATTTGATAATTTACAGTTTATTTTATTATATGTTTAATTTTAGTTAAAACTAAGCAAACAACAACAAAAAAACCAAATGATTCCATAACATAACTCAAACAAGATACACTTTTTAGCAGTGCTTTGGAGCTCAGACCTCTGGAGCAGGTTCTTTTTTCCCAGAGGTGGAGGGGAGCTAGAGCTGTTAAAATTTGTTACTGCTCCAAACTCCAAAATATATAACAAATTAATTTTTTTTTTTTAAATAAAATATATATGGAAGTGTGTCACCTAAACTTTAATTTTTTTTTTTTTTAATTTTTTTTTTTAATTGAGGCATTTTTCTACCTGCTCTACTACCATCTATTTTGCATCTATGCTTCTAACAGCTGTGGCCCCCTCTGATTTTCAGATTTGTTTCCCACTTTTTTACAACTATGTTGCCCCCTCAAAAATATATAACAAATTAATTTTTTTTTTTTAAATAAAATATATATGGAAGTGTGTCACCTAAACTTTAATTTTTTTTTTTTTAATTTTTTTTTTTTAATTGAGGCATTTTTCTACCTGCTCTACTACCATCTATGTTGCATCTATGCTTCTAACAGCTGTGGCCCCCTCTGATTTTCAGATATGTTGCCCACTTTTTTACAACTATGTTGCCCCCACTCTTCTACAAGCTATGTTGCCCCCCTCTTTTACATCTCCGTTGCCTAGTTAATAAGATAGGTTAGTGACAATAATAACCACATTTCTAGAAACACATTTCTAGAAACAGCACCCCCTTCAACCACCCCTCCTCCCTTTTCGGATCCAGAGCGCAGCAGAGTTGACACAAAATTTTTTGGAGTTTTGCCAAAACAAAAGTCTCCTCCTAATCCCTGCTGTTACGCTTATTCTCTCATTATATAGGTATAATAATAGTATAATATAATAAATATAATAGTCTAACATAATATAAATTATACATATAACAGCCAACAAGACCAAACATTTGTACATTGAAATACGTTCTCTTTCCAGAACCCACAGCGCCACTCTCACCAGAGGTGTACATCATCCAACACAACAATGCCACTACCCTACACCAGTCCCTGGCCGCAGACTTCCGTTGGATGAGCCCCGCCCTGACCAATGGGATCATAAGCCATCACATTGTGTACCACTGGATGGGGGATGGTACCGGCGGGGAGAAGACAGAGATTACAGTGAAGAGCAAAGCCCAACATTTTATCCTCAGCCCTCTGGTCAAGAACCAAGTCTACAACTTCAAGGTTTGTTTCACAGGAGTGCATAGGAAACTGTTGAATAGTTTCATCTCAAATTAGTGCTACTGGTTTTGAAAGTTTTCAACTCATCGTTTTATGGAAACATTTATGTTAATTTACTTGTAAGCATGATAATTATGCTAAGGTTTAGACAATGCAAATTATGCATTTGAATCATGAAACTCAATAAATGTCACCTGAAAAACAAAACAAAAACAAAGTCGCAAGTTTTTTTTTCTCAATTTGTTCTCAAACATTTCTATGTACTTTCTCACGTAATTTATTTCTATTGTACCTTCTCAGGTTGTTGCCTGCAACGATGCAGGCTGTGGCCCAGAATCAGTTACAAAAACAGTGGTAACTGATGGTAGGTTGATTTTTTTAAAATAATAAAAAAATTTATCCATATAATTTATTAAAGAAAATATATGCAATCTTCTCTAGAACAATAAGTATTGGTTCTCATCACTTCAGTAGTTGCTTTAGGTTTTTTTTTGTTAATTCATCAAAATCAACAGCAGTCTTCTTTTTTTTTTAAATGGTTTTTCATCTGTCTTTTCTCTTTAACACTTTACGCTCATATTCATTTGATACAATTATTTTGCTCTTAAAAATAATTTTCTTACCTTTCCAGCATTGAACCCTATCCCTTCACTATTAATGGCCACTCCAGCTGGATTAAACCTCACTGAGATGGACAGTGATTTCAACTCTTCTGTTCTACTGCCAGACATCTCACCCTTGGCTGTCACCTTTCTTGCCCAGGAGGACACACGGATATTCTGGTTGGACAAGAGAAATAAACTCTATGAAAACTCAGGGATCCCGTTTGTTGAGGTTTGCTTTGGTTACAAGTTTTATGTGGACAAAAAAAATCTTTGAAATTTTACTAGAATATTTTTCATATTTTACAAAAATTAACTTTTAAGTGAATTTTAGCAATGACTCTCCCACCACTCCTTAACACAAACCCCACCCTCCCCTTTTAAACACACTTTTTTAAAAAATGGCATAATAATTTGATCACAATGGTATTTAAGTTGACTACGTTAAATTAGGTCTAGTTGTTGCTTTGTTGCTTAATTTATGAATTTCTACTTTTACTTTATACCCGGAATGATGTTTACTTATTGCAGCTGCTGACCCTGAATGGCACAGGCAAAGATCTGACCACTGACTGGGTGAGTAGGACCCTGTACTTTGTGGAATCGACTGAAATGTACCGCAGTACCATCACCCAGTTTAGTATTGACAGAGGAGTTTATCAACCAGTGCTTTCTCGCCCAGCTAAAATCTATAACATTGTTGCGGATCCTTACAACAGGTATGGTGTGAATAATATATTTCACTGATTATCTGTTCAATTTGTCCAATTAAACCTGCTTATGAATCTAATTCTCTTCTTAAAATCGTATTATTATTTTTTTTTTTCTTTTTTTTTTTTTTAAAAAAATTATATTTTTTCTCCCCCCCCCCCTCCCCCCTAAACTCGTAAATTTTCAATGAAAAAACTAATCAGTTTAGTACATGAAATATGAAATCAATGTGACTGCTTGTTATTAAGTACAGGTACAAAGAATTGTACTGTTAAGTTTCAATGAAAAAGTTGATCACAATGTTGAAGAAAGATGAATGTAAGTTCTTAAATTTTCATTTGACAAAATGATCATTACATCTTCATAGTGCCCTTGTGTGGATTGAGATTGATTCTCAGGGTGAAAGCCAGATTATGTCAGCAGACATGACATCAGGAGATGTCAAGGCGATTTTGGGGAGTTCTGCTACTAAAATAAGAAGGCGAAAAGCTATGGACACTAAATGCTCGTGTACTGAGTCAATGAACTTTGTATCAGTTTTGGCGATGGGCTACACACGAGTAGGTGGTGCAACAGAAATAGTGTTTGCTGACAGCTTCAGTGGTGTAATCTTTTCTTCTGATCTTAATGGATGCATGTGTTCAGTAATTTTCAAACCATCAGAAGGAAACAGACATGGTAATTCTTGTTTCTACTGTTACCATTTACTGGTTTTTTAAAGTAGTGTTTGTTTTTTTATTGCTTCATTAATAAACAGTAACCAATTTTTGTCTTTCAATTTTCCCAATGTAAATAATTAGTGTCCTAACAAAATAATTTTACATTATGTAGAAGTTAATCTTTGGAGCAAATATAAAAAGGATTGACATACATTTATTTGTTGGTTTTCAAAATTTCAGTTTAAGAAATACATGACATGTATTTTCTGTTTGCCAGGTCTGCCACCCAGCATGCTGGCAGTAGATCACATGAGAGTCACATGGTACAACAAGACCGAGGGAAAACTGTACAGTGTTAATAAGGCAACAGGTCAGGGCTTAATAGAACAAGAAGTAAAGGGCCTTCAAGACATCCTGGCATATGGATCACACTTACAGTTCCTTCCAGGTAAGCCAGGGATAACTGTGCCACCCTCAGATTTTGATTATTTATTTATTGAAAATTTATTGTCAAATGATTTTATAAAAATCCAAATAGTTTTATAAGTTATTTATGTGAAATTATTATTTTTTTAATACTATTTATGCTGCTTAGATCATAATCTACTTTAAATGTTTACACCAACAAAACTGTGTTTGTTTAGATTCCCAGTGCCTAGACCCTGGAGCAATCATATCCACTACACAGGCCATGTATGTGGACAGCTCCAGTGTTTTCCTGAAGCTGTCCGTACCTCAAAGACCAGCTTCTTGTCAGGGCATCAGTGCACCGCAGGACAAGTACACCATATATTATCGCAAGGTCAAGGCCATCAAGCACGGGGCTGCCCCAGAAGATTGCCACTCAGACATTTCTCAGTGTACCAAAATGGTCAGTTTAATATTGTACTATCACTTTTTTGTATTTATCATCATCCAAGCCAGCACTTTTTAAATATGAATTACATTGATTTTGCTTTAGATTTTGTGAGGCAAAATAAATTTATATTAAAGTGTTTGACATTGTTAAAAGTTTAGTTAGCATTAATGCATTTAATTTTTATTTGCAATATTTATATATATATACATATATTATTTTTTAAAGTTTCATAATAATTAATTGATAAATATAAACCATAGATTTCTAATAATTTTAAATTACCTACAAACTGTTCTACTATGTAACGATGATGTATGCTCAGTTTAAAAAAAAAAAATTGTATATGCAAATTTATTTACCTATGGCTTTTCATATTTTTACAGGAGTCATATGCCTCAAACATTCAAATAAAAGATCTTGATCCCCACACTAAGTACTTGTTTCAAGTAGCCATCAGCAACTACTACACAGAGTATCTATCAGTGGCTATGGGACAACCTGTGTTTGTCACTACAAAGTTTGGAGGTTAGCTCTCTTATTCCTTGTAATGTATTACTGTTGTTTGGCTCATTGTTTTTTGTTTTTTTAATTTAAAGGAATGTCCAAGCTTAATATCAGATATTAATGAGACATTGTCAGAAAATTCTTTCGCTGTTAAGTTTACATTAATTGGTTTCTCATGGGGCAAGGGAGTGAAAATATAATTTTAGAAAGGAGTTTGATAAACTTTAATTTAAGTTGACCTCTGAAATAAGAGTTTGATTGTATCTCCGATTATTTTCTTGACAGTTCCGTCAGTAGCCAGAGAACTGAGTGCCGAGCCATGCACACCAGAAAAAATTATTGTCAAATGGCGGCCACCCCTGCAGCTCAATGGGCCATCAGAACTCATCACCTATGTGGTTCAATATTCAACATTTTTAGCAGAGGGCAATGTCCAGCGTGAGACAGAGAACCTTTTTGATAATAAAACCAGTGATGGTTTCATACAGACTGTTTTGAAGGACTTGGAACCTGGACATTTGTATAGCATTAAGGTATGTAAAGATTGCATTTTATTTAGATGGCAAAGAATCTTAGATGACACAGTTTCACTAACAACTTTTTGCACTGATGCTGTAATGATCTTCTGCTCTAGACAAGATTTTAAAGATTCCTTTTTGAACGGATCTTCTTTAATTGTAATCTAAACAGTTTTAATTTTTTTTAATTTCATTTTTAAAAATTATTTCTCTCTAAGGTTTACATGACACACACAATTATACCACATCTCTATAAATCCTTGCAGGTGTTGACCTGTATGGTAAATCGAACCATGTGTAGCAGCTCAGAACCAGTCTCCAATCAGACCTTCAAGACGCCCTCAGACATGAAATTTGTCAGCTCCACACCACATTCCATTTATTTGACCTGGAGGTCACCACCAGACAACAGCATAATACGGCATCATGTTATGTACACTGAGGTCAGTTCATTCAATTTTATTATTCTATAATCTATACATACAAAAAAATGATCTTCACTGCCCAATGGCTCACTTCACATTACAGGGTATTATTTACTTTTACTGTACACAAAATATTTATTTTTACCATACACAACATTTATTATTTTACTATAATCCACATATTTGCACTGAACACATCATATATATTTGTACTGAATAAACCATAATATATTTGAACTGTACTTAATATGAAACTGTTGAAATGACTTTTTTCATTTAAAATTAATATATCACCACTTTTATATTCAAAAAAAAAAAAAAAACAAATTGATGCTTTCATTTTTTTTATATATAACACATATAAGACAAAATAAATAAACCAAAATATATTTGAACTGTACTTAATATGAAACTGTTGAAATGACTTTTTTCATTTAAAATTAATATATCACCACTTTTATATTCAAAAAAAAAAAAAAAGACAAATTGATGCTTTCATTTTTTTTGTCTATGACACATGTAAAGCAAAATAATGTAAATTCCATCTTATTTACTTGACTTTTGTTATAAAGGTCAAACCAGGAGGGCTGAAATGGTTTGAGTCTGGCTTCCTGGGTGTCACAGAAAACCACACAGACTATACAGAGGAGATCACAGGGCTCGAGCCCAACACGTTGTACGCATTCAAGATTAAAGCCAATTACAGGTTCAGGCCTTTTGACATGGCTGTGTACATATGGCCTACTGATGACAACCTGTATACTTATAGGACAAATGGTAGGTTTTTCAGTATTGACAGCTATGACAGAGGGCTATTTTAAACCCATGTTTGCACTTAAATAATTCAGGGTTTAAAAATAACATTTGAAGTTTTATTATTAGAGAAGCTTTGAATTAAGTTATTGTCAGTCTGATGTTGTTGTTGCTGATGCATTGTAAAGAAAAACCTTAAATATGCAATGGGTATCACAAGTCAAAGTATTTTCTATCTATGGAAGGATACAGCCAAACATGTTTTTTCTTCTTATACCTAGTGCTTAAAATGTTTTTAAAAACAAATCATTATGCAACATTAACTTCTTTTGTTTTTTTGTCATCAATAATTCAGTATTTTGCCCAGATCAACCACCTCCTCCAGTTATAATACAACTAAAAACTGGGATGTATGAGGTCAAATGGGAGCAACCTGATGACAACGGGGCATCAATTATCAACTACATTCTTGAACTGAGGTCAGATTCTTTTATATTTCTCCAGTCCTCAACACACTAAATTAAAACTGAGAGATAAAAATGAGATCAAGTGAAAATATTGTTTAAAAATCATGTGATTGTTTATTGCTTATAAAATATTTACATACTAACATGACTTTTTCTTAGAATTTCATTAAAAAAATGTTGTAAAATCATTATGTTAATTTTAACACGTATTTAAAACATCCACAATAAAAAAAATACTCTACTAATAAATAAATATTATTTGCATCATTCCATCTTTGTGAGATGATGGATTAGCTTGTGCTTTATTTGCACCTCCTTGAGTAGCATTTGAGACACCTGATATAGTCACATCTGTCAAAAAAAATCTTTAACTAACAAGGCCGTATTTTTCAATTCTCAGTTCAGCAGATAATCTTAAATGGCAGTCTGCTTACAATGGTTCTGACAAACGCTGGGTTGTCGATTCACTGGGGCTTGATAATGGCAAGCCCTACATTTTCAGAGTTGCAGCGGCCAATTCACAAGGAATGGGACCATACAGTAACAACAGCTCCAGCTTCCTTTTTTCACATGGTATTTGATATTTCTATTTAGAAGAATGTTTCTTTAAAATGTATGAAATTGTTTTTAATAAGCAATTAACTTCAACAAAAATTTTTTTTAAATAAAAATTATCTTCCTTCAGCTGCCAAACCAGCTACCCTCAGCCATCAGGTGATTATTGGAATTGTTGTAGGGGTTCTTGTTTTCCTCATCATCATAGTTGTGGCTGTCATTGTCTTGGGTAAGTTTTAAGTAACTTGATGCCAATATACAGCTATGGTGGATTTTTCGTTACCTGTATTACTATTATAGAACCGTGTCTTTCTATTTTAAATAAAAAAAATGTAATGGTTCAATATTTTATTTACATCAATTTTTTTTATAAAGATTTTTCAAAAATATTCTCTTTAGTTTTTCTGTTATTTATTTCATTCCAATTTCAATTTTTTTAAAGATAAAACATTTAAGAAGCTCAAAAATTAGCAAAGTTCAATAAATTGGTCACTGGTCAATGCTGAATCTAAATAATTCTGCTAGTCTGCGATTCTAAAATTTTTTTACATCTAAACAGATTTTTTTTTAATGGACAATATTGTTACACTTTCAGTTTTTAATTATACAGATTTTTAAAAATTGACTCCTTTTTTAAAAAAATAGCCATTCGAAAGAGACAAGAGAAGATTACCCAGTTTATAATCAGGGGACCTGACACTGAACTTGCAACTCTGCGTGAATTACCCCACACTACATTTCAACAGAGCAACACTTTGTATGCGATTAGGTATGTATGACTCTCATCCTGTTTCATTACTCTCAATTGAAAAAGTAAGATTTTATGGCCATGCAGTTTTAAAAAATTATATTTAGCATTGTCATAGTGGAATTTTGCTAGATTTTGGTCATGGACATTTAAAAGGTGGATATATACATATATAACCTGGTCCATAAATATTCTGACAAAATGATATAGTGAGAAAATTGACATGCTGAGTCACTATCCTTGAATCTACATTATTTAGCGATATCAACTCTGTGGATACAGGAAATAGTTAAGTGTGATTTAAGTTTTATAAAAGCCTACAAGCCTACAAATACTTTGTATTTAATGCCTTGTCTACTTAATTAATATTCACCTGTATCTTCCCACTTCAGTATCAAATGCACAGATGAAGAAATTGCTAAGCTGCCCCATTTCAGTAGAAATCAGTTGGTGCTGACCATGTTTTTAGGAAGTGGTGCCTTTGGAGAGGTTTTTGAGGGATTGGCTAAGAATATCCTAGGTGACAGCAGTGGAGAAACCAAGTGTGCAGTTAAGGTAATGAAACAAAGTGATCATTTTCGTGCAAGTTTACAACATCCTGAGCTGTGGCTTCAATTATATAAATAAATAAAAAAGCTAGGATGATTTTTTTTTCTGCATTCAAAATTTATGTTAATTTCATTAGTCTTAATTTTATAGCATACAATGGCTTGTTTTTTTTTTGTACACTTCAAAAAATTGTGTTCTTATATTTGATAATATACAATGGGCCACTCTTTCAATTACCTAGTCATCTTCTTACTGTTCTTTCAGACCCTGCGGAAAAGTGCATCTGATCACGAGAAAGAGGAATTTCTAAAAGAAGCCTTGCTGATGAAAAACTTTCAGCATGAAAATATTCTGAGACTTCTAGGTGTCTGCCTTGATAATGATCCTCAGTTCATTATCATGGAGCTTATGGAAGGAGGGGATCTATTATCATTCTTGCGTAATTGCAGGGCAACCTCAGTGAGTTTAAATAATTAGTTTATTTTAACTTTTTCATGCATTTTATTATATTAATCTTTGTGTGTTTTTTATGCGTGAACAAAATATTTATTGAGAACACAATCTAGATATAAATTATCGATATTTCAATTGAACTCTTCTTGTCGTGTTTTATTCATATGCAAGCTATGTTATCATATTTTTTTTCTAATCCAGACTAGCCCAGCTAAACTTGTCTTACCTGATTTAGTTAAAATTTGTGTCCATGTGGCCAGGGGCTGTAAATATCTGGAGGACATGCATTTTGTTCATAGGTAAGAAAACAAACTAATGTTTTATTATTTTAAAAAATTACATTCATCCTTTCAACATTTTCAATCAAGTCTTCAGTGAATCTAATGACTTAGATTAATTTTTAATAAGTATTATTATTTGTGCACTCAGCATTCTTAATACATATAAAATCTTTGTTTTGTAAATGCAGAGATTTGGCAGCGAGAAATTGCCTGGTCTCATCTAAGTCTACATCAACCATGACAGTCAAGATTGGAGATTTTGGTCTGGCTAGGGATATCTACAAGAATGATTACTACAGAAAAGAAGGGGAGGGACTTTTGCCAGTCAGGTGGATGTCACCAGAGTCCTTGGTGGATGGGTTTTTTACAACACAGTCTGACATTTGGTAGGCCTTGATTTTTCCACTTCATTTCACTATCATGACTACAATCATACAAATTTTATATATATATATATTTTTTATATACATATTTTATATATATATTTGATGAGTGAAGTGAATTTAAGTTAAAGTTTAAAATATCCCTGAGCTATGTGCATTACTAACATTATCTTTGTATTTCAAAAGTAAAACTATGGGTCCTTTCAAGTCTAGATTTTCTAAAGTTGCCTGTTACCTCGCCACATTTTAGTGATATATATTTTAATAAACATTATTTTTCTTCAGGGCATTTGGTGTACTAATGTGGGAGGTGCTGACTTTAGGGCAACAACCTTATCCAGCCAGAACTAACATTGAAGTCCTTCACTTTGTAAGAGATGGAGGCAAGCTAGAGCGACCAGAGAAATGTACAGATGAAATGTACGTTGATAAATAAATTACGTTTTACAATGCTTTACTTCTGCACATATTATACATAAAGAATTGACTAGCTTAAGGGAAAATATTTGCAAGACGTGTGCACTATCTATGAAATTTTTTTATTTATATTTGGTTTTAGTGGTTGTAGGCCTAAATATATTTATTCAAAGTTGTAAACTTGTAATATTTTTTAGGTTTAATTTGATGCGAAAATGCTGGAGTTTTAACTCAGACCAAAGACCAAGTTTTGCTACTTTACTGGAAAGTTTAGAAATATTCCAAGAAAAGTGCTGTCATATGAGCCCTGAGGACATTGCTCGATTTTCTCCAGCAGTCACAGATGGTGAGTACTTGAGCAAAGCATACTTTCTTTTAAAAATATTTACTTTACAGATCATATTAAGACGTAGTTATGAATTGAATTCTATGAAATTTAAAAATTGTAACACAAATACTGGTCCATCATTTGTCTGCCGTCCCCATTCATGCCCACAGAACATCTACAATTGCTTGACAGAAAAAAATTCATTTGTCTTCTGCATGTTCCGTTCTCCACACGTCAACACTTTCAGGCTTAGTCTGTCGTAAAAGTTTGGATATTTGTTGTGTCTCTTTTGCCAACCCTAAACTGACAGGTTTTTTTTTTTGTTTTTTTTTTTTTTAATTACTGTCTTAAACGTAACTGTTTCTTGTTTAAAAAAGTGTGTGTGTTTATTAGCGTTGTTTTATATATAGATTGTCATATAAAGAAAGGGATAAAAAGTACTGCAGTGACATTATTTGGGGAATTTGAGGAAATAATTTTTCAAGAGCATTTTGGTCCTGTTTTAACCTAATGCCTCAACTAAATATTATATTTGGATTGAAACTTCCCTATTATTAAATTGATTAGTTACTTTAAGTCCAGTGAGAAATTTTGATGTTTTGCATCACATTAAAACTTTCTAACTAAATATCTATGTGTAGTTATGAAGAGGAGCACATTACACAGTATTATCACTTAATATCAACAAGTTCTCAAATTGACATAGATAAAGTGTCACTCAAAAAAAAAAAAAAATTTAGAAAATATAGGCTGAAATTATCCTTTCAAAGGACACAATTTAAATAGTTAACTAAAATGGTATACCCCTGCTGTAATAAACTGCAAAATAGACGTTTCTCAAGATTTTTGTTTGCTATTTGAAATTACTGAGCTAAATATTGCAAGAGCTGAACCAAGAATCAGGAATGTTTAAGAGTTTTTAAAAAAATATTCATTTTAGCAACTCCACCCACCCACCCCCCACCCCCCACCCCTCTAAATTTTGGATTTCCATTTTATTTATTTGTTATTTTATCGACATTAAAAAAATATATTTTGTGTTACTAGTTAAATAGTAATATTTTTTAAAGTAAATAATCCTCTTTGTTGTAGTGGCATGCTGCTGTGCTTCCCCATATGAAATGCTTCCCCAGTAACATGCTTCAAATATGTTACACTTTTACTTTCCTTTCAAACTTTAAAATAAATAAAGTTGATTTTTTGTCTTGTTCAAACAATCCCAAGTGATGACAATCATTTTGAAATTTTGTTTTTTGAAAGTCCGTTTATTTTCCATTTCACTCATTAAAGATCGTTGTTGCCTTCCCCCCCTAACCATTATGAAAGCATCACAAAACTTATTGAGGGACGCAAACTTTTTGCTAAAAGAACAATATCAATCAGAAAGAGGGGTGGGGGACAGCTCCATTTTATTATAAAAGACAAAGCATTATTAGTTTAGTTTTATTGTTAGGAGACTGACTAACTTCCCTTATGATACATAAAATCTATTAAAAATTATATTCCTTGTATTGCAAAAAAAGTCATTAAACTGTTTTGATATAATTAAGCCAAAAATCTATTCCTAATGAAAATTTTTTAATGCTGTTTTTTTCTTAAGTGCTTTAAATTGTCCTTGTTATTTTTGTTGCTAAACTTGTATTTATTTTTAAAGCTTATCGTATGTTGCACATTTACATTATTTATTTCCTCCTTTTTTTTTTTTTTTTTTTTTTTTTTTTTTTTTTTTTTTTTTTTTTTTTTTTTTTTTTTTTTTTTTTTTTTTTTTTTTTTTTTTTTTTTTTTTTTTTTGCATGCTGCATGCTACTTTTTGTTTCTGCTTTTATACCTCCACAGTTGCAATTTTTTTTTTTTTATAATTTTTATTTTTTTTTTTTTTTTTTTTTTTTTTTTTTTTTTTTTTTTTGCATGCTGCATGCTACTTTTTGTTTCTGCTTTTATACCTCCACAGTTGCATCATGCATCAGTCATCAACATAGCCATCGATCACTTCCCCAAGTCCCAGCTTCTTTCCCTTTGCTACACCTGCCCTCTAGTGGTTTCAGTGAATCTCATTATTCTTTACCATGGGAACGTCAATGGGATAATGATTCCCTTTACTCAAAACCATGGGAAATTATTCCAGGAGACAATGGACATTGTGAATCCTCAAGTTATGTAAGCACCTCCTTGCTATCAAATGATATTTACAATAAGTATGGGCTCGAGACCCTACATCTGTACCCAGAGCCTTGCCTGAATGAGGCACCGGGCTCAGAGAGACATCTTTACTGTGCTATTACCCCATCAGAAAATTGTATGTCTGAACGACACCAGAGTAAATTACCGTTAAATTACATTAGAATGAGTCAAGATCTAAATTGCGGTGTTCAAAAACTGCAGCCGGATTCTTCTGGTCAACATCAGAAGAATAATTTTGCAAAAGGAAGAAATAAGAATAAAAAACTGAAGAGACATCACCAAAAGCCACTAAGAAGCGCAGCAAAAACATCTTGTCCTATGTGTGTGGAAGAATCTATGAGTTCATGCAAAAATATCGTTGGACCAGATCATGAGAATCGATTAAATCTTAAACTGCCAAAATCAGGTTTTTTGCTTTCCCAATGTCCTCTATCAAGTCATGTTACTCTGGAAGGACAAAATGGGCAAGACACACTTCCTTTTATTGATTATGACCTCTTGTCTTTACAACATCTAGAAACTGTGACTGAAGAATCACAGGAGTCACATAAAATCATTTTAAGTGCAGCCCATCACTCACAAAGGGCTACATATGATGATACCACCGTTGCCTGCATTCAGTTTCAAAAGTCATTTGCAACAAGCTATATTCCCGGTGAACACTTATTTAATAAAAATACTCTCAGGGGTGGGGCTGAGTTTCTCAAGGGTAACATTAACATTGCGTTCATTGATGAGGCAGCGAACGACGACGGCGACGATCAGATGAGCGACGAGGACGATCTCGAGGAGGAAGAGGCTGTCACGCGGGGTCTGTTCACCCCAGACAACCCAACGGGTGGCTTATTGACCCCGAAGGGCCAAACTTTAACAGGTAGACATGCACTGGTTGGTCTGGGCCACTTAAGTTTATAACTGCTGATATATTATTGATTGCCTTTCAAATTTTAAATCTATTAAAGAAATTATTTTTTTTGTGAAAGAATGTATCAAACAGTTTTATTACAAGTTTTCTTCAACTTATTAAAAGTTACAGGTTGAAACTTTAAAATGTTTAAATTTCAAAGTCACAGACAGATCTTTTCAATCGCCATGACCTAATTCTGAATTATCGTCAACTACCTAATCTGTTTTCTTTTTTTGGGTCAAATTATGTGTAGGCTTATCGATAAATTACAATATTTAAGAATATAATTTTGAATTCAGCAGTTATACTCCAAATGTGTTCCAAAAGTGTTGTCTAACATTGGTGTGTTGTCACGTTTTGAGCTTTTTTTCACAATATGAATTTTAAAACTATTTGGTTCTAGTATTTTCCAAACATTCTTTATTTTTTAACTTTTCTGGTTTACTTGTGATTTCCCCAACCAAGGCCTTCACAGTTTTAACCCAAACGACAGTGTGTTCTTTGTGAGACTAATAAGCTGTTTTTCAGATGGAGAGCTTTGGTACCTTCTTGTGCCAGGTGTAGTGATGAATGTGTAGCGGTATTTGTGATCAACATAACTTTTTAAATGTGATTGCCTCACCTGAATGTAATGAAGGGTTGACGTGACAGTCTTTTTTTACAGATGAGCTAAAGGTGATTCCACTTACACCCTGTAGTTGATCTAACACCATGTGATTTATCTGACATACCATAATGATTATCTGACACCCTTCAATTTATTTGATACTCAATGATTACCAGACAACATACAATTGACCTATCTGACACACAATATCATTAAGAGTTCATTGACAAAGTATACAAGGCTGTATAGTATATTTGGTAGATACATTTTTATATAGATCCTGCATAGACAATCCATGCTTAAATTATTACTATTTCTATGGCTTGTCATTTGAAACTCAGGGCCTTTCTACTTTACTTTGAGTTGGCATGATTATAAAAATTTAATTACCTGCTTAATTAAATAGACGTCATTAAAATGTTTTCTGATCGTTATAGTCTGCTGTTAATCAGAAATACTTAATTTCATTGTTAATTGACATACATAATTTTATATTATAGCGTAAAGATAAGTTTGCATGGATTCTTTTAATGTACCATTAATCAAAGAGAGTTTAACAAATTTTTGTGTGTGTTTATTCTCGACCCTACTCATTCTCTATTGAAGGTGTTGTTTCACTCTTGTGTTAACTATCAATGCCAGCCTTTTTACCCTTTCCTCTCTTGGTAGGGTTGTGTGTGTCTTCTCATTTCAGAAATGTCTTGTTGGTTAGTCTAATATATAAAGAGGGTTGGTGTGTAAAAAGTGGACATATGTGGTGGTTGGGGGGGGGGGGGGGGGGGGGTGTGCGCATTGAAGTTGAAAGTGCATGTCTCCTTCACACCTTATATGGAATCTTTGGCATATGCTGATTAAGATATAAACTTGTATTGTCTGCAATGGCAATATTTAGAAACTATGATTCACTTAATTGATGTATTTGGTTTATACACAAATGATTTGTAGTTCAACTTAAGTTGTTAGAGCTGGTATGGTAATCACATAATGTAATGACAGTGCAAGTGCAGTGGTGTAACAGGTATGGTCACCATATAATGTAATGAAAGTTCAAGTGCAGTGACGTGTTAGTGCAGGTATGGTCATGTCATAATGTAATGACAGTGCAAGTTCAGTGGTGGAAGCAATCATCATGACCCCTTAATTAAGCTGTGTCTGTGTTTATGTTGGCTCTGCCATACAAAAAATTTGTATGTTTCTGAAGCTTATTAAACAATATCTTTTGAAATATTATCTTTTGAAAAAAAATCTTTGTATTGAGTTCTTTGGTCTCTAAGTTAACAAAATATTCATTCTTTAATTCTGCATGGAGTAAATGTACACAATTTAGATGAGCATGAAATGTGTTTCTTGCCAAAAACTGTGCATGCTTCAGTGGAACTAGTTTAATTAAACTGTGTCTGTTCAAGTCTAATACAAAAGTATATTTTAAAGATAACTAACATTTATTTAAATTTTGAATTTAATGTTTCACAAATTTTTATAACAATGTCAAGATTTAGATTATTTTGTAATTCCAAATATGAATCTTCCAATTTTTATATGTCCATTTAAGAATGTCAAGACTAGTGTCGCAGGAAGCTATTTTTCTGTCTTAAAACATTTTAAAGTCAGTGCTCCAATTTTGTCTGTATGGTGTCATTCATAGATTCCCTAATGCCTTTACTTACAGGGGGTGGATCTGTACGGTTGACTCAGTCTGCAAAACAAAAGAGACTGAATGACTTATTAGGCTCTCCTGATGCGCCAGAAAAGGTTTGTCCTAAGAAAAATATTTTCTAAAGTTTATAATTTTGCAATGAATGAAAGTATAACTACAGTTAAATTTTACAAATAATTAAATAATTCTCTAACGTAAACCGGACGCAACAGTTTTCATTTGTTGCTAAGTAATAAATGATTAACTAGTAAAACAAAACACAACTATTTGAATTATGAAGTACTGGTAGTAGTTGTAGTAGTCACTGAAAAGCAGTGTTTTTTCTTTTTAAAAACCACTTGAGGAATGATATAATACATTAAATTTTTATTAATATTAGCACTCTGCTTCAACATTTAATATTGCACATTCATTTCAATTTTTACTTTCAGTTGGTGGTTGACCTCACCAAAATTGGAAGGAAGCGAACACATTCATTAGAATACTCTACAAAACAAGATGCTGACTCCCAGAACCAGTTCCCGGCAGCTGCCAACTATGACCACAATGGATATCTAGAACCACGGGGAGCTAAAGGTGGGCCGGGGTATCTAGAGCTCATCAATTACGCCCCCGAGCTTCGTCACCTTCGTGACGCACAAGGAAACCCACTCACCGAGGGTTCAGCTTTCACCCCGGTCCACATCACTAGAAAGGGTCATCACCCATCTCATGTGAACTATACTTTGCTCACTCCTGACGAAGATGGACATTCTGGAGCCTACGGGCCGGACGGCAGTGATGTTTGTGGTGTGGATGATCCTACTTATTACACAACTCGGCTGCCTTACAGTGACAACTCAGGCCACCCTCAGGGATACATGTCTGTAGAAGAATCTCCAATTTATTCCCCAGTGTGTGATGACCGCCGCCACTATTCCACAGATTCGGCGGGGCGGCAGTTCGGAAACGCACAATACTATCCTCAACTTTCAGGGCAATCTCTGGAGGCCATGTTGTTAAAATCAAACCAGCATAGGAAATATTCTGATCAGGACCTTTATTTCAGCACCAAGCCATACAGACAGCGTCAGTCGTCTTCGTCGAGTTCCACAAATGATCACCGATACGCATCGGTGGAGTGCAACAATAACTACAGTAATCCGGCCAAAATGCTTGGTCAGCCTGGTGGATACAGTAGTGAGAGTGGAGGATCAGGGTATCCCCTGGACAATGGAAGCAGCAGCAATTCTAGACGTAGGCATGGATCTAACCACAGTAACTACCTTTACGCCAAACCCGGTATAGGTTATCCCACCAACGGAAATGTTACACTGACAGCCAAGGGAGATAACAACACCAAGCCGTGTTCTGGAAATGACTCATGGGCCAACAATCTGGATGATGTGTTTTTAGACAATGTCACTGCATCTCAGTGCTCCTCCCAGCCTGATGCAGACGCCTTCAACTACCAGTCCCAGCAGTACCATAGTTCTAGATCAAGGGGCCAGGTGTTTCCTGAGCATGCGACTGCTATACTGGGTTATGAGAGTAACCAAGTCAGTTTGGTGTAAAAATTTGGGTTGTTTGGTTGTTGTTTTTTTTACTTACACTCATAACGTTTATGTAAGACCAACAAAAATGTGCACACAAATTTTACAAATAACTTTTTTTTAACAAAATCTTAATGCCAATTTTATTTGTGGATTATTCATCAAAGTTGAATAGATTTTGTTATCACCAACACTGTCAAATTTATGATTTTTACATATAGATTTTTTTTTTTTAAACTTCTGAAAGACTTTTTATACAAGTTTTTTTTAGGCCCCAAAATGCACTTGTCCAGCAATTTCTTTTCTTTTTTTAATATGTTTATTTAAGCCTGTAAGCGGTGCATGTCTCATAGTCAGACACATTTGTTTATAGTTCTAACTTGGTTCTTCTGTGTTAAATTAAATAAATATTGTACAGATTCAGGTGTTGTTTTTTTGGTCAGTTTTTCCTTGTCTCTACGTATTATGCTAAAAAAAAGTTCACTTCAGATAATGCATGTTTCATTGTGATTCTTTTCCCAAGTGGTGGCTGTAATTTTTTTGGTTGACTCTTCAAAAACAAGAAATGGTTAATGCATGTATATTTCATTGACATTGAATAATAATTATGGGGTTAAATACAATCTGTTGATTTGTTGGCATTTGCTAATGGAATTGAAGAAAAAAAAATATGTTGTGAATTAAAGAAAATTATAAGGAAATAAGGTATTTCCCCATTTTATTTGCCAATCCAATAGCTTATTTGTGTACTAACCATATTTGTAAAACTACAAAGCATAATATTAAATGATATTTGAAACTTTATGTTGGCTCATTAAATAAGTAAATGTTCATAATGTGCATAATTTTAAATATCTTTGTGTTATATTTCAACAAATGAAGAGATATTAAATATTCTGTTACTACTATTATTATTACAAGTACTGAAAGTAAAGAAAGGTAGAACTAATCTGAATATGAAAAGAGAGACTCAAAAAATTTCTATGAGATCAGTGTTTAAAAAGTCACCTACAATTGGTATAAATTATAGTCCTTCCTTTTTTAAAAGAAAGAAAAAATCTGCACTTGAAAACTTTAAACTATTTGAAATCATAAATGTGAATTTTTGAAAAATTATTCCATCTCCTTTTTTTAAAAACCTTATTCTATCTCCTTTTATTTAAACAATTTTTAACAAACCAATAACCAAACCTGGTGCAGTTTAAAAGATATTAGTTCAGAATTTTTTCATATTGAAGATTAAGTTATTCTCTTTCAACAACTCCTTCACAGGATTTATTTTTTTTACATTCTGTGTGCATGTTTAAACATTGTATGTACAATAACATTATGACAACATAATGTTTAATGGAAGAAGACTGGTAGATCACAGTGGATCTAATTACAAAAGAATTTGTTTCATTTTTCTTTTACATTCCTCAATATGCTTTTTGGATTTATTTTCATTTTTTTTTAGTGCTCAGTGTTTGTTTCGACTTTGTGTTGTAGCTAAGACTAAGAGTTTGTTTTCCTTAAAAAAAATTATAATTTAAATATTAATCAACTAAACTTACCGCCATCGTAAATTAAAAAGGATTTTTTTTTACCTTTTAATCATTTAACTTTGTTACAGGATGTAAAACCTTTATGATTGTGCATTTGTTTTTGTTTTTTTGCACTACCTGCATTTCAGGAATTTCAACATCTCAAACCTCAAAGGTTGAGCAAAATATAATAGCCTCTAGCAAAATATAGGATATGATTGGTGAATTTTTATTTAACTCAGCATATTTCTCAACGCAATATTATCCTGCACCAAAACTTAAGCCACAAGTTCATATTTTTGCTCCATGTTACAAAAATGTTATTTCCTTATGAAACCCATGTATTAGGGCAAAAGTAATGAAGCACAATTATCTTACACTAGAGTTGAGGCATTTCTATGTTGATTGCAGCAGACATTTTTTTCCAATGCAGTATTAATTTTAATGTATTGAATTTCCACTATCGCATAGAATTAAAAACCTTTTCTACTCTATATTTAATAGAAAATTACGTTCAGAAGCATATTCATTCCATTTGTAATCTTTCTAGCTAGCTTTCTAAAACTATATAATGGGCTTAATTTTGTTGTTAAAAAGAATCTCAAATATTGTTACAATTTTTTTGTGTATTTTGCTCAGTTTATGGAAATTGTATAATGACTATGATTTAAAAACATATTTTATTACATTGGAATTTTAAATATGCATTTAAATTAGATGTTCAAAGCTATTGTGTACAATTTAATTTTAAAACTCAGCATATTTTAAAAGATTATACAAATCATGCATTTAGATCTACAACTTATGTAGTTTTTTTTTTATATCATTTAAAATTTTAAAATTACAGCACACATTATACACTTGTTCACTTTAATTCTTGATTTTATAAATATATATTACCAAGGTCACAAATAATTTTACTAGCATTTTAAGCAAACATTTATCTTTACTTTTTTACTAACTCAAGTGTTCTGTACTGTAAATATGTATAGATATATAAAAAAACTCATGTAAATTTGAAATTGAAACAAAAAAGCACTATATTGCTTGTCATTCATTCTACAAAGATTTTCAAAAACTACTGATGGTAGTTACGTTCTTTTAAAAAAATTGTTTTATGCTGATGTGAAACTTTGTGATGTGGTTGCCAAATTTAACATTTGTACACTTTGTAACATTATAATGAGGCGCATGCTTCTTTCCTCTAACACTCAATCAAATGTAAATACTTTTTTCTTTTTAAATTTGATAAATTTACTGAGATAATTTTATATTTTTCTAGTCAAAATACTGGAATATGGATCAGAGTATATAGAAATTAATAATACATTTTGGAAATGTTTTAAAGAAAAAAATACGGTACTGAGCATGAGGAACAATGGAGTGAAAAGAAAAAAAATATTTGATTGGAAATTTTTTGGTTAGAGAAATGGCGCAAGTCTTATTTATTAGATTTCTTATCTTTTAAATCCCAAATGGACTTGAATAATTTTATAAATAGTTATCAGCCCAATTCCAGGGTCTTCACTTAAAATTTATAATTATGCAGCTTTCTCTCAAATGAAGACTTTGTGAATGATCTGGGCTAATTTCAACGAAGTTAAATATTGTTGCTCTTTATCTGTAATATTGTTAAATTTCTGTAATACTCTTATGTTATTGGTTTGTCTGGTTTTATTAATTGACGACTAAAACATATTCAATGTTGGTGTTGTCTAGATGAAATAAATTTGTTGTTTCTCGTTACAAGTACAAGATCTTTGTTCATTAGATAAATGAATAAAATAAATGATCGATACTGTGGTAAACTAAATGTATAAAAAAGATTTAATCTAAAGAAAAAAACTTTGTATAAAAGTAAGCCATAGTTCAAAGTTTTACTCATGCAAGACAAATGTAAATGTAGATTATTGTGCATACAAATTCAACTAGAGAAAGTAAGAGTTCAAACATAACACACAATTAAAAAGCTAGACATTCTAATACATAAATAGCTATACATCAGTAACATAAAGGTTATCTTGCTTTCAACTATATTTAAAAGAGCAGTTGAAGCAAACAAAAATAAAGTTATTTTTTAAAATGTTGATAGTCTCACCCAGAAGGAAAATTGTATGTAAGAAATATATTTTTTTTAAATTCCCTTTCTAAATATTTCAGTTTTTGAAATGTGCATTAATAGATCCCATAATAATGACAGTAAGCTAAGCATGTGCACATAAGGCATTTTTTAACATACATTCATTGACAAGGGAAAAGGGAAAACACTAAATTATGCTGTCAGTCAAGTTGGAGTGCCTTCAAAATAAGAATGGTGGCAAAGATTAAATATTTGAATACAACATAGTTTAAAAGCTATACTTTTTATTTAAATAAAAAATAAAACACTGATGATTTAAAGTGAATGAACTCATTCATTGCCCACAATAATGAACCGATTTTCTTTAAAAAAAAAAAAATTTGCACATTGTTAACAATGACTTACTGTAGATACTCGTCCTAAAGCCTATTCGTTCATGAGCCAGTCACAGTTTGTGTAGGAAAAGCCTGAAAAGTGTATAACTGGACCCAATAAGATCATATGCCAGTGTAAGCAAAATGATACCAAACGAAATGCAGATGAAGGAACAAAGGCTAGCCTTAAATAATCTGTAAATGACTTTTATTATTTACTTATTATAAGATTGGGCGAACTGCCATCAACTTCCAATAACTCTGTTTTATTAACACTAAAAGCTTCTGGTAGTATTCTAATCTTGCGGAGCATTGGGTAAAGTAGAATTTCTATGATATACAATAATTACATTATAACATGGACTTGGAGAAAATTATTTTAAAAATTCCTATTCCTACCACCCCTGATATATTTGTTGTTTTTTTTAAAAGTCGGCTTTAGGGCAAGAATAAACTGTAATGAGAAGTATTAATAGATGTAATGTACAATAAAAACATGAAAGGATTTGATCATTTAACAGCAAACAAACTGAAAAAAACTATATTGAACTTTCATTAAAAACAAACCATGCACCACATTTGAACAGTTTCAGAAAATGAATCATGCCATGATATACAGATAATAAATAGATTACTGACAGCTTTACTTACATATTTAAGCTTTAAATAGTTCAGATCCTTATAATAAAATTAGCACCAATAAAAACATTAGCATCAAGCTGGTCATATCAGAATACATAAACAGATTCACAGCCTATTTATAAAAAGAGAACTTGAATTTCTTTTTTCTTAGTCTAAAAAGAAACAGGAAAAGTAAAGGTGAACAACAGTTCAACATGAATAAATACCAAGAGTGGTTCTCAAATGCCCTGTAGTTGCCACAACTCAGACTCAAATGTAAAGAAGTGGTGACTACTAGTCTTTCACAACACACTGACACAGTTAGCGGAAAATTTCCAGTGATCTACTGTAAAAATATATAAATAAAGACACCAAAAGTTCTTTTTGTTAATTTTCATTAGACTCACACCATAGCTTTAGGATTTACATTAAAATAAATGGCAAGTTATGAAAGATGATCAACTGGACGATTGTTGATTTTCAAATCCAGATAACTAAGGGCCACTGGTCTTTACAACAGCAACCTAAAAGATTTGCCACTATGACCAAATTTGACACTTAATAAGATAATCTCAGGCTTGGCTGGGCAGCATTAGTCATTAAGAAACTAGACAAGGCAAATGTCTATATTTTATTATATGGAGTGCACATACTTTAAAATATTTTATAAAATGAAAAGGCAGTTTACTGCTAGCTTGGTCACACAAATATTCCATTTTAGTCAACCTTAAAAGTACTATGTTGTTAACAGTACTAAAGGACAGCCTATTCAGTTAAGCTTGAGGAATTATTTAATTGTATACCAAGTATTAAGGCACAATAAAGGCTTTCTAAATATTTCATACATGACAAAAATCGTATGGAAATCCTTCATAAAATTTCCTGGTTTCCTATCCCTTTTATTAAAAAAAAAAATATATGTAATTTTATATAGCCATTAATAAACAATGGCATTATTATTTATTTGAAGTGCCACAAGGAAAAATCACCCAAACAATAAAAAAATCATATTTATTCATATAAATTGGTATGTTGAGCCAATAAAGACTTTGTTAATATTGTCATTGATGGAACTATTTAAATACATATGCTTTAGATAGAAAAATGAAAAGAAGTAGATACTTTATGCAAGTGTTATTAATTCGGTTCCCTTAAATTTTTCTTTATCAATTTAAAAAGCCAAACACTTGAGATCTTTTCATCAGAAGATAATTGACCATATGTGAGTGATGTCTAAAGTGATGTTCAAATTAAAACTGAATTGATAGCAATAAATAATGACATTTGGGCATGGATAAGATCCTGACTTATCTCTCACTCTCTGCCAAAAATAAAATGTGCTGCTGTAATGACTGACAAGAATACAGTGATGGAACTGGTGATGCTGTTGGACCCAGAACGAACTTCGTAAAGACCACAACTGTAAGCCGTTGAGTACTCACAATTTAACACCTTCCTGTTAAGAAGGAAAAAAAAATTACCATTTAAAAGTGTATTTCTTCTGTGAAAAAAAAATAGAATTTGTAAAAATCGACCCAAAATTAATTAATATTATTTTTAAATAATGTCATTTTGAAACAAATTTTATTTCAATTCACACATGAAGCCATAACCACTTGATGTCATATATGAGATTATCCAATGCCTGAACTATACACCCTTCACTGAGCCTTTATACTCACTTGATGTCATATATGAGATTATCCAATGCCTGAACAATGCGCCCTTCATTGAGCCTATCTCCAACCTTGTGTCTGAGAAGCGCACGGTAGTAAGGACTCAGCTTCTGGTTAGCAGTAGATCCCCCGTAGATGGCCAGCTGAGTGCATTAAACAAAACAAAATTATTAAAGCAAAGGTACAATAACATGGCATTTATTATCTTACATAACTAAAATCTTTCATTCTTCTTATTGTTGGGGGTGGAGGAGGGAGTTAAAAACACCATCAGAGATACCAAGTTAACTTTTTACCTGACCTGAAAGCCCAAAACAATCAAAATTAGCAGAATGCCTGTGTTTTTGTCGGTACTTCAGTGTGCATACTTTGTAAAATATTTAAAAGAATTTTTTTTTAAATTCTGAATGTTTTAGTAAATTAAAGTGTTGAGCAACTTCTCTTCTTGAATTTGGTAAAACTAAAAATGACTAACCACTTTGTCCTCTTCGGAATAGAATATGACAATATCTTCTTCACAGCGACCCATGTTCCACTTGCCATTCCCGAGTCTGTGTGCGAAGAGCTGGGCTTGGTCTTCTGGTGTGTTAAGACGGCCATCTGTGCTAAAAGTCAGAGAGAGCGAGAGAGAAAATAAGCAGTGGTATTGTGAACTGCACCACCTTTTTAAATAAAGCATAAAATTAAAAAAAAATCAAAATTTATATTCACATATAGGCTTTAGTTATTTCCCTCTTTATAAAAAAACTTAGATGGTAGATTGAAAACACTTGTTACTCAATATCTTATCTTAACAAGAAAAGTGATAAAAGTAAAAGTGAAGAAATTTCACTGGAACACCAACGCTCACTTTGTTTGAAGGGCCATACGTCTGACAAGGGCAACACCAATTCGATATCCTACAGCTCCTCTCTCATTTTCACAATAGTAAGTGCTGCAAGGACATGATGTGCTATTGTAGGCGGCATCCTTTAGATGCCAGTTCATGCTATGGACTGAAAGAGTATCATAGTCATTACCAGAGTAACATCTTTAAATAGAGTAAGCCATAAAACGTTCTTAAAAATATTTTTTTTAAATAAGAAGGTATGTCTGTTACGGTAGAAGCTTGCCTTGTTTACATCATGTTAAAGTCATGTTTCTCGTGCCTGAACTCTGGGTGACCCCAAGTTTGGCAAAATGATGGGTGTGGCCTAATTATAAATGGTGTCCCTTGACCTTGACTATAAGTAAACATAGCCTATAATCGAATTCTGTGGAACTTACAAGAAGGCCCTAGATACAGAAACAATGTGTAACCCCTTTCTGGAAAATTCTCTATGAAAGACAGTACATAAGCTGTCCGACAGAGGGACCAGGGAGACTGCAAGACAAAAATTGAGACAGAGATTGCACTTACGATACGAGTCGAGAGCAAGAATAATAGATTGACATAATTTACTGATCGTAGATTTGTATATTCTATTTATCATATGTATGTGCACCTTCTCAATATTGTACCGGTACCAGTTCATTGCTGTAATGTAAGTGAATAGCCTTTATTTTATTCTATTTGTTTTTGCATTGTAAAGTGAACTTAATAAATTATTATATGTAATTATCACTAGTTTGAGTATCGTTCTTTATTACTGTATTTAATTAATGTTATCGTCCTTTGTTATGTACTGTTTGTCAAGAGCCATATAGTTAATAAGAGATTAAATTCTCTACACATTATAATGATACGTAACAACGTTAATGTCATTTAAAACTTAAGGTATGTTCCCAATGCAATTATGTTACTTGGATTTTCAACTTTCTGTGATCATGTGCTACTCACTGCAACTGCAACAAAAACTGGGCCAACAAGTTTCATTATCACAAGTTTCTTTAGCGTACCTTTATATTGAAAGCTGGCAATACACAGAAACACTCCTGTCATTTTTTTACGATGTGTGTGCATTATCAGCTGACAGGTTAGTAGCAGAGCAACCAGAGTGGTCACACACAAAAAACATGATGAATTTAATATCAGCTGACTTTGTTTAAAAATTTTCAATTATTAGTTGTATTTGATATTAGCTATAATTGTAGTTCGAAAATTAAAATTTGTGAAATGAATTTCAAGTTTGATTAAATTGGGGTGTGCAAGACAAGAAAAGATTTTTAGAGAACCAATGTCTTGTTTTTTAAAAAAAAGGAATTAAATTAAGAAATGTTTTTTTTAAATTTACATTTTAATTATCCCTTGCATGGGTGGTTATTAATAAAGGTGAATGTACCGTTAGATGTATGCTTAAATGGCAACATAATTAAATGTTACTTATGTTTATTAAGATCATTTTAGGGCATTATTTACTTCTACTACTAAACTAAAATTAAACAAATAAATAAATGATTACCACAAATTTCTTAGAATACTAGCTATAGCCCACCAAACAATGTGCCAACTTCCCTTCTACTAAGTTACTCGATAAAATATGCATTTAAAATTCAAGTAATGCACTTTATGAGATTCCCAACTGTAAAACGAAAACAAAATATTACACACCAAATGCACTTGGGATTCAGAAGTTATCAGTATTTTATTTAGTGAAATCAGGGCCATCTTGTAGGGTTAGTGACACTTACATCAAAAAATTATGTATCTTGATGTTTTAGCCACAGATTTATTTCTGACAATTCTAACATTAAGAGCCAAGCAAATGCACAAAAGGAAACTATTACTAATACTAATATCACTGACATCTTTCAAAACTTACTTTTATCACCAATAATTTTGTTGGGATCACAAATATAAGCAGGTTCATCTGTGTTAAGTCCACACAATCTTGGTTCTGACAGTGGATTATACATATCATCCGGTAACCATTCTAGTTTTGTAGACTGGCCACAAATGATGTCTGCCTCCAGCACAAAGAGTGCTAACATAAGAAGGGGAGCCAACATTGTATTACTTTCCTGGAAGATATTCAAGTATGTTTTATTTTTAAAAATCAATGTGGTGTCATTATTTTTACAAATGCATTTAAAAACTTGTAACTAGACAATTTGATTTTTTTTTTTTAAATTATGAAGCTTATTTTTTTCAACAATAAATAACATAATACTTATTTAACAATACTAAAACTTGTTTTAAAATTAGAGAAATATTTGTTCATAGATAAAAAGGCTAATTATTTATGGATGAAGCAGTAAGCTTACGACTAGATTCAATTTAATATATGCTGTATTGATGATAGGGCTTACATAATATTGCCTATGTTATATTGGATATACAGTAAAAGTAAAACAGCTTAAATGTAAAAAAAAAAATCCAAATTTTCATTAACTTTTTTGTTTTGTTTCGATTAATTTGTATTATTTAAAACATCTGTTAAGTGAATATAACAAATACACATATATAAATTCTTTCTGTGGCTATCATAAAGGAAACCCAACTCTAGAAAAACATGTATTCTCTACAGGAATAAAAAAACATGTAGATAAACTGTACTGGCTTTGCGGTCAACAGATAATTTCCAAAAATTTTTATTGGCCAGAAGCCACCCATAAACAAAACAAAGTAACGCATCCAGTGTGTGTGTGTGGTAGTTGGAAAAGGGGGGAGGGGGAGTTTGTCATAAATTTGTGACGAAATGTGTCTATTTTATGTTACAATTCTGTGATGGAAAGGGGGGGGGGGGGGGGGTTTTTTTGAAATCTGCAAAAAAGGGGGGGGGGGGGGTTGGAAATGTTTGACAGTTGTTGACAAGGGGGAGTTTAGATTAGCTGACGTCAATAATCATGTTCTTTCTATTAGAATTTTAATCTTAAAAATTGACTTGTACTTACATTATTTTAAACAATTTAATGAGTGTTTAGGCTTTTAACAATATAAGAGTTATTTAATATGTGTCTGTCTGTGCAATGCAGATGGTTGGTCAGACTGTTAGCAATCATTTTTAGTGCAAGAGAAGTCAAAAGTTGGTATCTCTTTACCTGTCATTTTTCTCTTCATCCGCTCCCTAGAATGATTAACACATCATTGTACACGGTGCTCAATTTAAATAAAACACCAACTCATCAGTGTTCAATAACAACTATACCAACTCAAAGACAGAGAGAGCTTATGGCAATTATTGCTCACACCGACAATACTTCTATTTTTAAGTGCTGAATGTTTATATAAGAATGATGTTGACTTCTCCTTCTTCTTCTATATATTAAGGGCCCACGATCAAGTTATTGATCATTTTGGCTCCTATGCATGTAGAGGGGATTTGCAATGTTTCTGTGCCTGGTGCTGATGAGGATATTTCAATGATTACAAGTGCTACTTTGTGAAGGAATCATGCAATGGGGGTTGGAAGGCTTGAGGCAATAGACGCAAATGTGTCTAGTGTTGTCGTCTCAACTGTCTCTTTTGAAAGCTTGTTCCAGTCCCTGATTGTCTTGGGCAGGAATGAGCAGTTCCTATACTGACTTCTTGTCTGGTGTATCAGTTCCCCAAGATGAAAATGATAAATCAACTACAATACACTATGCCCCATCAGGGGCGTGATTTCAGGTTTTTTCCAGGGGAAGGGGGTGGGCAAAACCAATACTTGGTCGGCTTATTAAGTTGTTTATTACTGGAAGCGCAACAGTACACAGCTATACTGACAATAATAATATTTATAATTCCACAAACAATGATATTTAGTCCATAAAAAGGTTGTTTCTGCATTATAAAACTTGAATGTAAAAACTTTTAACCTATTGACAATTGATTAACAAGCTAAACCTGTACTGTAATAAAATAATTTCAGCACAGAGTAAAATGTATTTATAAATGTATTTAATTTATATTATAATTCATTATTTTTATATATATATTTTTTGGGGGGGAGGGGGGGTATGAAAT